TACATTATGCAAATAACATCCTTATCAGTCCAATAAAAAAAGTTATTAATGTCCCTGCTTGTTTATCCTTGCCATATACTCAGAAACATATGAATTTGCATAAATACCTCTTTTCTTTTCTATTATTCACACCATATATGAAAAATCATCCTTACACCACCAGAGAAGCCCTAAACGATGTTCTTGAAATATCCTTCAATCTACGTCTATAACTAACATCAGAGCATGGGTTAATGTATTTAAGAAAAGAAAAACAAAAACTTGGGGGATTGCCTACTTGAATTTTTTTTTAATGTCTCTCTAGGAAGGGTTTGCATATGCCATACCAGGGTATCTCCTGGATATAAGAACAGTTATACAGGCCCCTAGTGGCTTAGCAAATAGCAGCAGATGAGGGGATTCCAATTCTTAGTTCTTGACTTTGAGATATTCTGGTTTTAAATGAGTGTCGATCTTGAAAGGCAAATCAAATCATTGTATTTAATACTTTAAGCAGTTTTACATCTATGGTTATCTACTGTAATGCACATATATTAAAATGGATTGCTACATTTCATTACTTTAGTAACTGTACAACTGCACTGGCCCAGGAAGAATTTGGGTTACATAACCTACACAATAAAATGTTTAATTCATCTACCTCTTTACATGTCATTACAAAAGTAATATATTACTCAACTATATTAAAATATATTTGAGAGATACTATTCCTCTTTGAATCTCATTCTTATGATACCATTATTACTGAAGGCCGTAAGAATAGATTATTGCTATGTAAAGTGCTCACTATTTAAAATGAGATACAGACAAAAACCGAATGCCACTTTTACAGCAGTAGAAATCTAAACGTATTTCCCAACAACGGCCAGTGATAAATCTCATACTGAAGTGCACCTTTTAAAAGATCTACAATTAATAACACCCCTTAATCCCCCATCCCCTTGCTGTCTTTCCTTCACAAAAGAAAATTCCAGGCAGGCACATTTACAGCTTTTAGCAATTTTTAACTGGACACAATCTGACAGCTGAATTCATGAAACTGACCAGCTTGTCAATTTCACACTTTGAAAGTACAATAATAGCTGATAGCATAAGGGTGAATTTAAGAAATCTGTCACAGAATTGCTAGCTCCATTGAAAAGCAAAGTACAGTACATAATTATGGAATGTGGGAGGTAGGGAAAATTTTATTGTCCATTTAGGATGTCTGTTTCAAGAATTTGGACATGCATTAAAAATGTGTTCTCTTTTTGCTATAATATCTGTGGCGTACAGCAGAATATGTTTTCAAAATAAGTATAATATATACTAAGCATTTTCCTGGATATCATATTACCTATATAACATAATCTTTAAGTTGGTATCATCTACAGAGCCCCTTAAATCAAAATGTTTCCAGTCTTGGTATATTATACCGGTTTCACTCAAGTTGAGTGGTTGGTGTGTGCACTTAAAAAACAGAGAAAGAACAGTCAAAATGGTCAGAAGTATCTACGGTTGAACTAACTCCCCATAGGTGTGCTACAGGATAGTTAGAATACACCAAAGGGTAAAGTCCACATTTGTAGCTCAGTAAATCCAACAGCAAATCTATCTCAAGTCACAGCAGTTACTAGCCTCTGAAAGGCTCAAAATGTGTGCGCTACACTCTAAGTCACTGGTACTGTATCTTTGAGCATGTAAAAGAAAAAAAAAAAACTTTAAGAGGAAAATACAGGGAGAGCGATTTCTCAGGAGTCTTCCTAGATACTTAAGGTGCAAAATGTAGATTAGCTTGGGGGAATCACTCTTAAGAATTTTAGAAAACAGAGGAGACATTTGGCAAGTTAACAGTAGCGTACTTGGAGGCGACTGGAAACAATACAAGTGGACTGTGATAGTCCAGGTTTTGGAGAATGGAACTACTATTCGGAATCCTGGAACACCCAATTAATGAAAGCTAAGCTTACGCCTGGTGTTCAAGATTTTTTTTTTAAAGTGTTAGACTTAAAAACTGACTTCACTTGTTAGTGCTTTTAAATGAAAACGCACAGAGAGAGAAGCAATGCAAGTTTTCCAAACACCTTCATAAAAGCTACAATAAATCTACAGGAAAGGAAAGAATCTTTGGTTCGTCCGTGGCTTTCTTTTTAAATTGTTTCCAACTTTGACTCTTCTTCATTATGAATTATGCGTTCCCTTTGCTACGGACTGAATGTGTGTGCAAGTACACCCGACCCCCGCAGCAGAACTAAGAGCTTTGATTCTGCCATGGAAAGGTCTTCAAAACAATCCCCCTCCTCTATGGCAGCCGCGTAGACTTTGATTCCTGCTATTTCTCCCTCTCCCCACTAGTTCAGAGGAAGGAAAGAAAAAGAAATCGCCCCCTCACCATAATCAGCCCTCCTTAAAACAGTAATCCCTGCCTTTAAAAAAGAATGCGGTGGCAGAATCCCTGGGCAGGGCTGGACTGCCCCACCGCTCCACCATTTCCCCAACACTACGCCCACCCTAGGAGGAGAGAGCGGGGGTCGCACAGACACACATACCCGGACCCCAGTTCTCTAGAATCGCCTGTCTCCTGGGTCTCACTGAGGTTTCGGACGAGAAGTGAAGCGTGCGGGGAGGACCTCTGCCCGGGGAGGTTCCGAGGAGAGCAAACTGTGTGCGCTCCCGTGCCGGGCGCGGGGCTCGTGCAAGCGGGAGCGAGTGGCCCCGGCCGGGCAGGAGCCGGCAGCCCGAGCCGGGCGCAGGGCGCTCCCGGGGCAACGAGAGCGGAGGACACAGGGGGGCGGACCGGGTCAGTTCGTGGGACTTACCTGGTCATGTTGGCTCCGGGCAGCTGCCGCCACCACCTCCCGCGCCGCCACCAGCACTTTCCTCCAGCGCCTTCGCGCCCCGCCACGGCCGCGCAGCCGCCTCCGGGCGGCCGAGGTTAATCCCGCGGAGCGGCGGCCGCCGCCGCGGAAGCCCCCCTGGTCGCCGCCGCCGCCCAGCCCGCGCGCGGCCGGCGCAGTCCAGAGCGAGGAAGTGGAGGAGAGTCAGCGAGTGAGTCCAAAAGCCCGAAATCCAGCATCCAAGGGAGCGCGTCCCCCCGCCCTCCCTCCACCCCTACCCCCTTCTCCGCCTCCTCCGCCTCCTCCTCCTCCTCTTCCCGGGCCGTCCTCCTGGCCCTTCCGAGCCCGCGGCTTCCGCGGCGGTGTCTCCTCCTCCCGCGCCTCCTGTCCGCCCTGCGCCCGCTTCTCCGGCTGCCGCCGCCGCCGCCGCCGCTGCAGTTTGTCTCCTCCTCCTCTTCCTCCTCTTCCTCCTCCTCCCGCTCTTCGATGCTCCGCCGCTCGCGGCTGGGGGGTCCGAGGCCGCGTCTCCTCTCCTCCCTCCGCCTCTCCTGTTTCCTCCTTCCTGCTGCTGCTTCTTTTAAAGCGGATTCTTTGGCCGCAAATAGCAACTCGGCTGCCCCCTTCAGTGCCTCCCTCCCCTTCTTCTCTTCTTCCCCCCAAAAGTGAAGCGCACGCGAGGTAACCAGAAACTGAGGCTCGCAGGGGGAGAGGGGAGGCGGGGGAGGCGACGCCTGGACCAGGGCCAGAGCCGAGTCAAGGGCCAGGAGGCGGGGTAGCCAGCCCTGCCCAGTCCTTGGACCTGGCGTGAGCCTGGGGGTTACGGTTGCAGACGAGGTGGTTTGGTGGGGAAATTAAATGGAAAAAAAAGAGCTCAGGAAAGTAATTGAAAAGGCTTCTGTCTTTGTTTCCTTGTCTGGGTGATTTCTAAAATCCTCGTAACATGCTGGGGATCCCACGGAAGCGCTGTGCCCCAGCGCTGGGGGATTGTGTGTGCGCGTTGCCTGCGCGTGTGTGAGTGTGAGTGTGGGTGCGCCCGGGCGCGGGGACAGCCGGGCCCGCTGCGCCCGCCGGCGAATCTCTGAATCTGGACCACTGACCCACTGAGAGGGCCAGAGAGCTGGACGAAGGAGGGGCAGGCAGGAGAGCTGGGCGAAGGAGGCACACCACACACACACACACACACACACACACACACACACTCGCAGAGGAGGGGGCGGGGTGACGTCACTCCCCAGCATCCATCCACCAGGCCAGAAAAGACCCTCTCCACAGATCCACTCATCTAAGAGATGCACACCCAGGCGCTTCCTGCTCTAAGTCCCGGTGCAAAGGAGGGGAAAAAAAAATCCTGGTCGCGCCCTATTCAAGGCAGCGATGATAATATAAGGAGCGCGCGTTGATGAGACACAGTTTGCGTCTGCCCCAGTTCACCTTGGCAGCCTTCTTCGGGATGCTTGCAGGATCCACTTTGGAGGCAGAGAGGAAGAAAGGGAAGTATTGAATGAAAATCTTTGCATAATAACTTGTTTTGCTTTTCATGCTACTTGCCTTTATGATGTTGGAAATAAGGTGCCCCCCCTCCCGCAGTTTCTCTGAAGGACACGGTGAGACCCTTTCCCTAGGCCGGCAACCGATTATTGGGCTACACATTCTTCATCCACAGAAGCCAACATGGCTAAGGTGCACTGTGTGTTTTGTTAGCTAAGAGATGGATTTTAACCTTCTTCACTCATAAGATCTCCAGCATGTGGGAAAAGTCAACAGCTGGAAGCCACCCCTGGCAAGTGGCCCATCAAAATGTATTAAAAACTTAGTCAGAATGGTTAAATAAAATAGAGCCAGGGCCACCAGCCACCTCTGTTGCTCATTCTATGTTCAGGCCAGCACTTACACACAGTACTTATCCCTGCCGACCCCAGGCTGTCTTCCAAAGAGCCAAGGTAAGCAGATGCCCTTCGATTCAACCTAATGATTGGCACCCTGACTGCTGTCTCAAGCCACCCATTCGTTTCCACCATCTCCATACTGTGTTCCTGAAAGGCACTGAAGGACTAGTCAGTAATCCTCTGCCCTCTGTGTACTCCAAAAAGAAGGCACATATTTTTGAAAGGAGTCTTTCTAAATGAAGCTACCTTTTCTAGCAATTTGGGGATAGAAGAGGAACATCCTGGCATGACTCTCTCCTGTTTGTTTTTGGTGTTTTTCTACAGTTAGCCTCATAGTGAAAAATCAGAAAAAAATCTATTCCTGTGTGAGTCCCCAAGCCAGGTGTAACTTCCAATCTTTCTGATGACACAAGATGCTGAAAGGCTGAGCAGATAAGAGGGACACCTGTTCTGTTCACCCTAAGGATGGATCCAGAGATCTGAGCCTCCCCAAGATGTAAACTCCTACTTGGCTTTTTCCTTGCCACGTCCTCCTCCATATACTGGTGATTGCACTTTCCTCGTCCAAGGTTGGATGTTAGAGTAACAAACAGAAAGTTTTAAAAACCTTAACATTTCTTGGCTATTATCTTTGGTGGAGAGAAACACATCCCTCTGACTGCAGATCTGACCTCATTTAAAAAGAACCCTGCTGGGAAATCTGACTGTTATCTGGGAGCATAGTTAAGGAAACAACATCTTACCAAACTGGTAGCAAGAAAAGAAGTTTTCTAGAGTAGCTAGAAAACTCAGCAATGATTGTTATCAAGGTGAGCAATGAGCAGGTGGAAAAGGGAGCCAGAAATCAGAGGAGACAGAGGACAGTGCAAGTAAGGGACATATGCCTAACTTTTCTGATGCCATCAGGTCCCAGGACCTAAATGTTCCTGTCCCTACTACAACCAAAAATCTTAGAGAAAGAAGTAGGGATGGGATGAGATGATTAGAGAGTCTGAGCTATTATTATACAAAAGAGACTGAGAATTTTTCGGGTTGATGGTGCTGAGGAAGATGAGATAGAGCAAATGGAGAAGCCGAGACTTTCTCTGCATATCTGAGTAGCAGTGGGAGTAATACTGCAGCCTCCTACACATATATTAATATGTGCAGGGCAGATTTGCAACAACACAGCACCCTAGTGCTGCCCCATCTAATATAAACTCTGAGCTGATGTTTACCATTTGGAAATTTTAAGTCAAAGAACATCAGAGGTGAGTCAATCATCTGTTGAAATCACCTCATTTTTCGAGGTTAAAAAAGCCCTGACTCCCTGAGAGTTTAAGGTCAACTGTTTGGTGGCAGAAACAGGACACAAACCCAGATATCATGAGCTCGTGTCCCCCATCCCACCAGCTATTCATCATTACCTCCAAGTTCTGGATCAAAGAAGCCAGTTTTTAATTTATCAATGAGCAACAAATATAGAATATTTTAAAACTATAAATACATGAAGGAAAATGAAGCAATAGGAATAGACATTTTCTTAGTCCCCTTCCAGCTCTAACGTTCTGTGAAGAATAGCACACAGGAGCTTTGCTATAGCACAACCCCCTCTAGTGCATAATTCAGCATACGATGAGTCTGAGTCTGTTTTGGACCCCATCCAAAGGATTTAGTTCCTAGAAGTACTCGAAAGATTTTATTCTCATTTATCATGAAGCATCCTAAAAGAAGGCTAAAAATAATCATGATGACAATAATAGTAATCAGTGGTTACATTTGTATTGCGTACTAAGCATCATGCTAAGCATGTTATCATAGCCCACTGTTTTTCAAAAGGCACATCCATGACCTTACGGTGTTGTGAATCTAGTGGGTCATGAATAATTTTTTAGATAAAAGAAAAATAAGAAAAAGGAGAGTACTTTATATATATTAAGTATTGTTTTGCAAAACTTATGCTTTGATCGTGTGGCTAGTGGTTCATTAAAAGAAAAAGTTTGAAAGCTACTGTCTCATCTCCAATCAGAACAAGTGTCTTGCTAGTTAAGTATTATTAGCACTATTGTATAAGTGAGGAAACAGGATCAAAGAAAATAAGTAATTTGCCCAAGCTGACATAGTGAGTGACCAAGCTAGAGTTTTGAACCTAGGTCTGTTAGATTTGCAATTGAATATTTTCATTTCCATATTAATGATAAATTATTAACTAAGGTATGGAATAAGTTGTTGCTAATCATATTTTCTTTGTGATTTTTATTAAATCCAGCTAGAATGGAGAACCACGGCATAGATTCAAGTGATGTGTTCTGAAGATACTGAGGAATTTTATAAAACACTAAAACTAACACCTGAGACCTTTTTCTACAGGTGCTAATTATGTCTCATATACTTTATTAATTTGCTGCTAAATGTAGAAATGAAATAATAACTAATGGTTTTAATCTTCAAATAACTTAGATATTCAAATCTACAAATATTAGAACATATTATTTGAGCAAGTTTTTCAAAATTTAATTCATACAACATTTCTCAGAAGCTTGTTTTTTCCAGACACAGAACTGGCCACTGAGAAACATAAAAGAAATATAAGACAGTCTCTAGGCTAAACGGTATTTTAAATCACAAGGTCCACACATATAAAGTAACCAGACAACACTATGATTCAACTTAAGTTGTCAAGAGGACAATAACTCAGGCGCCATGCTAAATTTTTTGACCCATGTAGTCCTTTGGATTCTTCTAGTGACATTGCCCATATAGATGATGTTATTCCCATTCTTCAGATTTGTAAACTCAAATTCAGAACTAGGAGATGATTGAAATGGTTGTCTGATCCTCATCTTCCTAATCCTACTACCCAAAGGCTCTTTCCAAACAGGTGGGCTTCCAGTAGACAAAGAAGGGGTTGGAGATTCTGAGGCATGCTGAGCAAACATTCACACTTTTTTTCCCTCTGAAAGAAATACACTTTCTTTTTTTCAAGGCAGCATCTCTTGTTGCTTTCAGGCAGTACTTTCCTCTTTAAGAAAAGAAATCCACATCTTTCTCTAAAGAAAGGCCTGGAAAAGCCAGACCTTCTCCCCTGACTGCTCAGTTCAGCTGCTAAATTTCACCCTCACCTGCAGTGTGTAGAGGACGTTATGGTACGATGCTATTTTCTATTGGCTCTGCTGCTGGAGATTACAGCATGCGACTGTGACAAATGGATATTCCCATTAAATTCTTTAGTAGAGTGGGGCATTCCATTAACCGTTGGCACTATCCCAACCCAAGTGAAACACTGGGTCATTTTTTTCTTGTGAGCAAGAAGTGAAGGGGGAAAACAAAGGATATACTCTAATTACCTTTCCTATTTTTTTGTTGCATATATTATGATAGCCGTATATTATAATTATTTATAATTAATATATGACAAGCTGTCAGGTAAAATTTAACAGGTGATTTGTCAGGAAGCCCCATTAATGTGTGCATTAAGCTGCGGATTTCTGTGTTTCCTAACAATGAAACTGTGTCTTGGTTTTGTTTTTTAATTCTGTTCGGTTTAAACATTCAGAGGCCACCTATCTTTACATATTTGCGGCATCTTTTTAAAACACAATGATTGTTAACATAAATGGGTGCATTTTTAGTTATGTAAGGCATAAACACAATTTTGTCAACCTTAACTTTTAAGTGCTAAGCTTTTAACCAAGGAGACCAATTGCCTGGTGTTTATTTTTAAGTTTTAACTGTTATCATTTTCTATACATTTTTAAAATGATGTGTTTAGTATTAAAGGCAAAGCTGACTGGAGAGGAAAGTAACTGCAGATACTTATGTTCCATTTAGGGTTTGTATCTTACATAAGAGAATTTAAAAATGAAGGAATATTTTAAAATACAGAAAAAAGATTAAGAAGTCACCAGAAAGCTGGTAATTAATCACTGAATGGAGGGTAATTCTACAGAGACCTAAAACTGATGAAACAGGCTCCATTTTGCTGAGTGGCACAAGAATGGGGCACACAATGGAAATGAATCACAGATCCTGGGAGGGGCAACAAGACTCTTTGAGAAAAGGAAAGCCTTGGTTTCAATGTCTATAGAACGTCAAAGCCATTCAGGGACATAACCTGAAAACGAAGTTAAATTTTAAACTGCAATTTGGTTATTGGTTCCATGGACAACCAAAGTTTGTACTGTTGAAGAGAAAGATAGAAAAGTAGAGAGCAACATTTGTTTAAAATTTCATTTGCACAAACCTGACTCTTATCTTTCAAGACTAGGACATGCTGGAGGCTGTTAATGACTTGCAGTCAACTACCGTAGAGGATGCTGAATCTCCTTAATGAAAGAATTTGCTTCAACATTTAACGGTTAGGACTAGAGGGGAAAAAGAAAATGAGAGTAAAACAGAAGCACAGCAGCTTTTCAAAGCTAATAAGACTTCCGCCGTGTCCACTAACCAAGTTCAGGTTTCACATTTTTAGCAAGAAAGCACCAACACAGAGCCATGAAATGATTTTTAAAGGGTCTTTCCAACAGGGTTTCAGAAAATGATTTTCAAAAACTGCACTCAGAAGTAAAATACCACAAGTAGATTTTAATGTCACAGGGAGTGTATCTCTACACAGTTCAAGGATTACAAATGGCCAGTGACAAACTGGTCATTGTATCCTGGACTGGAACCTCACTGTTTTCAGTTATGCAGCAGCATCCCCACAGGTAGCTGTGGATTTTCCCTGTGCGTTCAGTTGCAGTTTTCAAAACAGTAAATACAGCAGAGACATCAAGACTACTATTTTCAGCCATTTTTCTAACCTCTTTGTCTTATACTTCTATGCTTAACTTCAGTTAGGTCACTTAATTCCTACTTGGTGTACATCCTTAGGGTAATGTGTTCTCAGCTGTTTCAGAGCAGGATTCATGTCTGATTGGAACCAAAAACTCCTATCATAAAACTCTAAGCACAATAGGTACTTCACAGATATTTGAGGAATCAAAGAAAGGGAAGGATGAAGATAGGAAGAGAAAGGAAATGAATTGGTTGTCAATTGCCCATTGTGTGTGAAACCTCACTGTCTTTTTTTTTTTTTGAGACAGAGTCTCACTTTGTTGCCCAAGCTAGAGTGAGGTGAGTGCCATGGTGTCAGCCTAGTTCACAGCAACCTCAAACTCCTGAGCTCAAGCAATCCTCCTGTCTCAGCCTCCCAAGTAGCTGGGACTACAGGCATGCACCACCATGCCCGGCTAATTTTTTCTATATATATATATTAGTTGGCCAATTAATTTCTTTCTATTTATAGTAGAGATGGGGTCTCGCTCTTGCCCTGCTTTGGGACTCTCATGTTTCCCCTTTTTCTTTTTATTTTCTATCTCTCTACATTCTTATTGCGCATATTTGTACCCTATTAAATTCTGAGCATCTCTTTACATCACTGCCAACAAGCCCAGAACCTGGACTATCAACAAATCCCAAAAAATGTCTGCTGAGATGTATGATAACATGTGCTTAGGTACCACTGTGGTGGGTTAGATGGCACCTTAATATTGCCTCTTACTGGGTCTGCACTGAAAAGTGTAATGACCTAGAGTTTGGTCAAAGTTAGGCCTCACCAATCACAACACACACCAAAATGTCACAAAAAATGATAGAATCTGAGCAGGAGTTGATGGATTCGTAGATCCACAGAATTTTTGATCAGAATAAGTTTCATGTTTTCCTACAGGAAATTAAAATAATTTGATTAGTTCAGTCAGTAAGAAAAAAAAATCCTTTATGCTTTTAACTGGTAGCGAAGTTTTCATTATTATCTTGGTATAAATTCTGTTAGGTGAGCAGAACATTCATTTGCCTATAAACATTATTTCCTATATGATCGTATATTACTACAAGTCATCCTGATTTTTTAAATTCACTAGCCACATCTACAAAATTACTAGTAATACGAAGCAAGTCTGGAAGAGATTTAAAAAGGCAAACCAAAAACTATTCTTTCCCACATGTATGATTACTTTAAATAGTCTATTCACGTCAGTGCTTATTTTATCAATGTAGTAGCACCATTCTTGCTTAGTTATGTGTGTTCAGTTCTTTAAGATCATGTTTTGTCTCCTTTTTTTTTTTTTTACTACCAAAAGCCCATCTTTCCAATATGAACATCTCTACTGCTCTCTGGTCTAGTACAATAATAATCTTTTGCATATTCTTCTGCTCCCAAGCTTTTCTTGATTGGCCCCAATCCATTCCCCACTGTGCTGCCCAATTAACTTTAATAAAATACAAGTTTGATTATGTAATTCCCAGGCTCAGAAAACTCAGTGGTTCATGAGTAAGTACATCTTTCATAACTAAGTGCGAATGTTCTACCAGCATTTGAGATCCACCACAAATGGAATGCTGCCTGAGCCCATATTTCCATTCTAAAATTTTACCTCTTTGCTGCTCATATCCTAAACTAAAACATTGCCTGAATAAAACTGTACATTTTTCTTATTCTGCCAGAAAGTGCTTTTATGATCACCTACATATTGAATACCCACCCTTAAGGATCATCTCATCGATGGTTTTTTTCTGATTCTTCTACCCAAATATGAATATGACTTCCTTTGAAATGTCTGAATCTTTGAGTTTCTCTTGTGCTAAATATTCTACTGAAATTGGAGATTGGATAAAAGATCATAGAAAACACTAACCTCCAAGATGTGTTTCATGACTAATTTTATTGTTATTGATCCATTAACAATTGGATTTGTAAAATGTTATGAATATAAGCATGGACTGTTACAAATATAAGCATATATAAGGACATGTTATAAATATAAGCATGGGGTTAATGGGAATTTATGCAAACTTATGTCTAAGCAAAAGTCCTCTTTGTTTAATCACACCTTGAAAGTTCTTGTGCCAGGTGACTGTGTTTGGGAAAAGAATAAGCAATTCCAAAGATTCTGAGTTAAAACCAATAAGAAGAGCAAAAGGCAATGGAAACTTCTAACAATTTCTTTCCTTCTTTCCTTCCTTCTTTCCTTCCTTCCTTCCTTCCTTCCTTCCTTCCTTCCTTCCTTACTTACTTGCTTCCTTCCTTCCTTCCTGCCGTCCTTCCTTCATTGCCTTCCTTCCTTCCTTCCTTCCTTCCTTCCTTCCTTCCTTCCTTTCTTTCTTTCTTTCTTTCTTTCTTTCTTTCTTTCTTTCTTTCCTTTTCAACTCAGCTTTACCCATTATCCATGCAAGGAGATGAACCAACCTGGGACTATTAACAGTCTTTGACCTCCAGAAGCACAAAAGCAAATCAAGTCAGGCAGATGTTCTCTGCCTTCCCCTGCGCAAAGACACCAGAGGCCACTGCTTGGCACTCATGCTTTTGACTTTATTTCTTCACTCAGAGAGACCTCCTGCATGGTGAATCTCAGGCTCTAAGAGATATCTACCCTGTACCAAGTGGAGGTAAGAAGGAATAGGATGCCTGTATTATTATTATTATTTTATTCCTGCACCCACCATCCAAAAAAATAACAGGCTGTATTATAAGACTCTGGATGTCAAAACTGCTCAATTTTGTCAGTTCTATGCTGAGTAGAGAAAATTAGAGCACATACTGAAAGCTGTAATATGTCCTCTGTGATTTAATCCTACCTGTGCCATTCATATCACACCTGCCTTTTATTACAGTTATATTTATAGTTGTTTTTCTCTCTCTGTGCCTATGCCACAGGCCAACCTCTCTCTGACCATAGATGTTACCAGATCCACATATATTTCTTATACAATTGCAGAATGGCTTGTCCTAAGAGTGTGTATTAGAACACTGTATAATTGAATTTTTCTAGAATATAGTGTTTTTGTTGAAATTAATGGAAACTGTAGAGGGCACGAGCATATCCCAACTTTTTAAGTTTAATATATTCTATCATATCGTTCCAGGGAGCATACCTGTATTTATCAGATTAGAAATCCAAGTGTTTGGACTACTGAACCCCTAGGATGGTGGCTTACAGCCTCGGCTGTACAGTAGAATCTGTAAAAACTTATAAAACATATGTCTGGGGCCCATTCATGTTAGCAGAATTGATTTTTCTGGGCGTGGGGATCCTGGCATCTATATTTTTAAAAGCTTCCCAAATGATTCAAATGCTTAGCCAAAGTTAGAGTAACCTTGCTTTACAGCTCTAGGAAGCACAATTTGAAAATCACTAGATTGTTTCTAAAGTTTTTTTTGCCAGCACTAAGATTTTTTGTGAAGTACTTTTATAAGTGAAAAAGAAACGATCCTTTGACTGAATTTCATTTTTAAGTAGTAACTACAAAGGAAATGTAGCCCAAATTTCATATACTCCTGTGGTGTTTTTCCACATTTCTTATTACTTAGATTTCATGCATGCCCATTCATCCCACTGCTCATTCATTCAGACCTCCACTGTGTGTGAAGTATGTGAACTATGTACTATCAAGTCATTCTAAGAATGTGGGCTGTGAGCAAGGCACACATATTAAGGAAAACCCTTTTATCCAAATACAATATAAACATCCCCTAATGATTTGTATTCTCTGTAGTCCAATTAAAAGAGGAAGCCATGCCATCAGACTAGCCTAAATTCCAACCACTCCACCCCAAAGAAAGAAAGAAAGAAAGAAAGAAAGAAAGAAAGAAAGAAGAAAGAAAGAAAGAGAGAGAGAGAGAGAGAGAGAGAAGGGAGGGAGGGAGGGAGGGAGGGAGGAAGGAAGGAAGGAAAAATTGAAAACCTCCTCCCTGGAAGCAAACTGGAACTAGTCTTGATGCTTGTGTGTTATTTTCAGAGTTAAATCAGGAACAACAAAACTACTACTTTGAAGAGAGAAAGATGTTGTTCATAATTTTTGGCTTAAGGAATTCATTTTCTTGAAAAGAAAGTATACTTGATGAACTCTAGTAATAGAAAACTATCAATACACAAGCAGAACACGCTTATCTCTCTGAGAGTTAACAAAATGCCTGACAGATAAGAGGAACAGTATCCATACTATATTAGTTAAAAAGTAATATCTATGTGGCCCTTCATAGGCCACAGAGAACTTTAAGAGATCTGTCTCTTTTAATGTTCCTATTAGTTTTTTGAGTGGCAAAACACCCATTTTACAGATGACCCAGACTCATAAATTGATCCAAACTTTCTAAATCAAAATTTCTGGACTAGTTCCTGGGAGTCAGAATGTTTGGCAAGCATTTCAGGTAATTTTGAAAACCACTGTGATAACTCAATTCAGATTTATTGATTTGTTTTATTGCTCCTAGGAAAATAACCTGGTTTAGCTGAGCACATTCTGGCATTTCCTAAGAAGCTAACTGCCTTTTTCTAGGATTTGCCTTTTCTTTCTTCTAAACTTTTTTAAAGAAAAAAAGAAAAAAAGAAATCACAGGTGGCACTATTTTACCTAAATCAACAAGCTTTTTAATTCTGCTCTGCACAGCTGGTTTATTCATACAGTTGGTTGTCCTTGCTCTGAAGGAAGCTCCTAGCTGCTGGCACTGTTGGGGGGGTTTGAATCTGCCCACTACCCTTCTGGCCATAACTAAGGTCCTGACAACCTGCAGAGACCACAGGTTTCCTTCAGCAAGCAGCTGTAATTACATTAAATTTATACCAGACATTGTAGTGTAAACCCAGCAACCTGCCGGGACATTTCAGTGGGCTTTAGCAATCTATTTGGGAACTATGAGTTCTAGCTGTTACACTTAGGGAGAGAATTGGCTGTGAGCTATTTGTGTTGGTACGTATCTTTTTCCATCAATTAAGAAAAAAGCCTTAAAGGTAAAAGATACGCTTTTAACTAGCTATCCCTTCCCCTTTAAATTATATTACAACAGCATAATAGCTACTTTGGAAATACCATCTCATTTATAACATAAAAAAAAAAGACAGTCCAACAGACTCCCCCCCCCCAAAAAAAAACCTTCTTTAGAATAAAACTATAGATTTTAAGAGTGGAGAAAATGTTCTTTTAACCTTATGATTATTCCTAATCCATGCAGAGACTGAAGAGGATTTTGATCTTCTGTCTGGAATGAAATATACTTAACTGGAATTGAAGATGCAAGGAAGAAAAAAAAAAAAAAACCTCAAAAATTACAGGGAAAGAAAGTGTGTGTCAACCACCCTGTCTTCCCAAGTCTCAAACTTTCCAAATTCTTTTGGTTCACCACTCCAACCCTAGTAAACCCTCGTACGTAACAACACTCCAGTTAGTCTGGGAGTTACAGTTTCTGGGAAATTTGTCTGTCAAAGAAGAGAGGTTCCAAAGAGTTTGGCATTTCCCCCCTTAGGCAATAGAAAGCAATAAAGGTCATAAGAGACAGACATGTACACAAACACACTCACATACAACACACACACTCTTGGGAGTGCAACACCGTGTGATGAGCCGGCCCTTATGACCTTGAAGGAAACATTGGTAGAGGAGGAAGGGTGGACCCACTCAGATCACCTGACATAAATGACCACTCTGGCTGCCTCCAAACTTCACCCTCTGTCCTGACAGTGCCTCAAAGTGAAACGGATATTGGGGAAAAGGACACGGGGCAGTTTGCCATATCTTTGGACGTCCAAAAGGGTAGAAGGGCTTTATTTCTTTTCTTACCTGCCTGCTAAGAAAAAAAGGCAGTCATCCTGCTTGAGACCACCAGCTGCCCCCTCCTTTCCCACTGCTTTGTCTTATACCCTTTAAACTCTCCAATAAGTACACATGTTGCTAGGTTCATAATTAAAGTGTTGGCAATGGCTGTTCTCTTGCTTTCAATTTCATTTGTACAAATGTTCCCATCACTCTTTTTAAAAGCCCTGGGCATATGTTCAAAACATACAACCCAAACAAATAAACTGCATAACCCAAGCCAAACCTGCCAACGACTGGAACATCCTTCCTATCTGGGAGGGCCACTCTGAAAAACTACGTAATTGCAGTATATTCTCTGAAACAAAGTACACAGAGCTGAAAAATGGAATTTTTTTTGTTAGCATCTTATCACCAAGGAAATGTGGGGTACACACATAAGCCACAGAATCAGCTACTTAAGCTATAATGAAGTAAATTCCACCTTCAGTAATATCCTTAGAAAATGGAATATTTAGGAAGGAGCAGATTTCCTATGGGGAATTTTGTGGTAGAGTTAGACTTTGGTAGACTTATTTAAAATTATTATTTGTAAGTGCTGAGGAAGAGTTTATATTTAGAACTAAGTTCTTGATCTTATCCAGTGACTGACTTTTCATGGCCTTTAGAAGTAACTTTGATAAGCAAAATTCCTATCTGTCATTTACCCCTGAAGCTGACATGATCACAGCAGTGGGAGTTGCTATATAAAAAGGTCGTGATAAGACTAAAAACTTTACCAATGAGAAGCACTCTGATGTGTAGGAAAAAGACACTATTGATGACAAATTGATTTTACCTCAGTACAGTGAAAAAAAGGAATAGCTCGACCTCATTCAAAAATTTGGGGTGAAATTTCTCCAACACAGAATGGAAAGAACTGCCCGAATCCACTGGTTGGAGTCTAAGGAAATGAGGATGTTTGTCTGTAGCCAAGCTGTGATCCAGGTTGGCACTGTCATCCTGAGGCACCACTGAGAGGAAATGTGTCCTCCGCAAGATGGCAGCCAGTGGAAACCCGCAGCAACGCCATCAATCAACAGCCAGGGCCAAAAGCTCCTGCTTCCCTTTCCCTGACAGAGCAAACCGCTCAAAGGCCACTATAAAGTCGCCTCACGGCTCCAACAAAAACTGAAAAGTTTATAACAAGTGGCACCACCTGTGCTTATGTCTCAGCCTAGCCAAAATAATCTCCTCTCCCGGGTCTCCTAACCATGGCAAAGGGTGAGGAATGTGACGGTGAGGATGTGAAGAGGAAGAAGGTTCCAACATGGAGCCTGGAGAGTGAGTGGATTATCCTCGCCTGCACTAGCAGAGAGATCAGCAAGTCTGTGTCTCCTTTACTCTGGAGCAACTGTGTGTGATATGATCTCCCAGCCCCTATCAAAAAGGCTCTGTCTTCAGGGAAACAAAGACTTCTCTGCTCAGCGTTGTTCTATCACATGATAGCGTTTTCGTGTTAACAATGTTATATTATTACAACCTTCGTGAGGCTGAGGATGTGGAGCTTGTATTAAAAACACAACAAAGAAAACAGCTTGTTTATCCAAGCTAGTATTTTGACCATAATTATACTTTTCTCTGTCTTCTCAGTGAATAAGGAAATTTTGAACCAGGTACGTGCACAAAACATGATGGAAATAGGATAAAATGGCACGACATTCAGGATGTAGATTACATTTATGTAAGTCTGGCTGATACAAAATTCTGTTATCACTTTTTTAAAAAAAAATCTATAATTTTTTTTAAATCTATGATTTTAATGAAAACGATCCAGGGACAGTCCACATTTTTCAGAAAGAACAAATTTTTCAGTACAGGAGGCAGCATTTGCCAGTACAACAACAAGAAACCAGCCAAGTTGCTTTGGAGGAGTTAAACAAGTACATTTCGATAAGGACCCAAACAATCTTTGGCAACCAATTAGAAAAACAAATCATCGTTGCATTAAGAAAGCCCTCAACCATGAGTGCTGTCGGTGGAAAATAGAGTTACTCACCAACTGAAAATGTTTGCTTGAAGTGAGAATTATTTTATGGAAACCACTGTGAGTTTTGGAATACTTACAATCTGTTCAAATTGGTCACTGTGTACGATGCTACTGCAGCAGTAAGCCCTGAGACTTATAATCTGTCTGCCTAATGGAGCAGGTGGCGAGATTCTCCACAGAGCTGTTGGCTCCTGGAGGGCAGGGACCATGTCTTATTCATCTTACGTCTTGCACAGTACCCAGCTCTTCAAAGGCAGTCAATAAATATTGAATGAAGGAATCTTTATACATGACTACACTCACTGACCCCCTGGCATAAAATATTACCACCCCCATCATCTCTATCCTATTGCCCTGCGTAATTTTTCTTCGGAGCAATTATTGCCAGCTGTCATGTTTTACATGGTTGTTTTAATTATCTTATTGTCTCGTTTTCTCAGCCAGAATATAAGCTTCCCAAGGGTAGGGATTGAACAGGATTGATTTCCTGTATATTCCCAGTTCCTAGGATGATGACTGGCACATAATAGGTTAATTATAAATATGTGTTGACTTTTGAATGAGTGGTGAATGAATTGTTGTTTTCTCTGTTTAATTTTCTTCTTTCCTCTGCACTGTCATCTATTTTATCTTGATGAGGCCTGGAGATTATACTCTGAGGTTCAGTAAATAGTAACAAAAGGAGTGTTTACTATATAGGTGGCTAATTCTAAAGAAAGAAAGAATCAGGGAATGGACTAGGTCTTACTGATGTTAGGCACATGGGTCTACAGCCCTGTAGAGAAACAAGAGTGATAAGAAATAGGTTGGGCTTGGTGGCTCATGCCTGTAATCCCAGCACTTTGGAAGGCTGAGGCAAGGAGGATCATTAAGGCCAGGAGTTCAAGACCAGCCTGGACAGTAGAGCAAGACCCCATCTCAAAAACAAAAAACAACAACAAAAAAAGAGGAAATAAAGAAGAGAGGGAGGCAAGACACAAAATAATCTCCTGAAGGCCATCAGTGGTAGACTCCATATGAACTGACAAGTTACCACTGGGTCTTTATCATACTGGGCAGAGCCTTCATGTCCTTCTAGGCTTCAAGGGCACAACTACATCTTATCAAGATTTTGAGTACTGTTAATATGTAACTTTTGAAGTTAGAGTAAAAATTTAATAAGACAATATAATACTTGTTTCCCTTGGGCATTTCTACATCATTCCTGTATGTGAATGAATAACAATTCACAGCCCATTAAGAACGTTTCCATTTTACCACCCACATTTAATGGCTGATAAAACTAGTAGCCTGTGGTTCAGTGACTTGCCCATGATTTGCATGGCGACCCTGCCAAATATAAACCTTCCAACTGTAAAGCTGGGTGCAGTAGCTCATGCCTGTAATCCTAGCAGCTAAGGAGGCTGAGAGAGAAGGATCGCTTGAGCCCAGGGTTCAAGGCCAGGCTAGGCAACATAGCAGACACCATCTCTAAAAAAAAAAAGATTTTTTTTTTAATTAGCTGTGCATGTTGGCGTGTGCCTGTAGTCCTACGGGGGAGGATTGCTTGAGCTGAGGAGTTCAAGGCTGCAGTAAGCTATGATCAGCCCACTGAATTCCAGACTGGATGACAGAGTGAGACCCTGTGGGGGAAACAAAAACAAAAACCGCTTCAATTATAAACAGATTTTATTTCTTTCTTTTCAAATCAAGATAGAGTGGGATGTTCTTTGTTCCTTGTAGACATTCATAAGGTGTGATGATAGTTGAACAGAATTGGTTTTGCAGTTTCCCAACTTGAGTATCACCAAATGAATCTGAGATAGGGAAGTGGCCTAACTACAGAGTCTGACTCTGGAAAAAAGAAATGAGTGGGAAAGGTCTTCATTGGCCTTCCCTCTGTTGTTCTTTCTCTCCATTCTGAGCCTCTTCTGAGCATTTCATATTCTCCACGCTGATCCCAAACCCCTCAGTGCTTTTGGCTAGCCAAGCACTTGGTTACCTTGTTCTTCTAATGACTTTTTTTTTTTTTTTGAGACAGAGTCTCACTTTGTTGCCCAGGCTAGAGTGAGTGCCATGGCATCAGCCTAGCTCACAGCAACCTCAAACTCCTGGGCTCAAGCAATCCTCCTGCCTCAGCCTCCCGAGTAGCTGGAACTACAGGCATGCATCACCATGCCCGGCTAATTTTTTCTATATATATTAGTTGGCCAATTAATTTCTTTCTATTTATAGTAGAGACGGGGGTCTTGCTCTTGCTCAGGCTGGTTTCGAACTCCTGACCTCGAGCAATGTGCCCGCCTCGGCCTCCCAGAGTGCTAGGATTACAGGCGTGAGCCACCGCGCCTGGCCTCTAATGACTTTTTATCTCTTCCCTAGTTTGTCATAGTGAAAATTGCATTGGCGTTGAGAGAACATAATCCCTAACTCTGTTAATAGCTGTGTGTCACGGGGTGGGCTGTTAAAACCCCCATAGTTCTTAT